ATATTATATTCAACTGATATCGATATCGTATCGTAGAGGTGAGAATAATGGTTTGTATTCAGTAGTAGTCTAGTTCAATTTAATAAAAGATATAGACTGGATTCGTGTACGAGTAAATAAGTTTTTTTGAAACTTTATATTTAAGGAAAAGTGCAATAACTCAACAACGCCGTAACCGAATTTCAAAAACCAAACATGAAATGATATCAGAATTTAACGTAGCATCTGAATATGTAATGATATACAGGGCGTTCTATTTTAAAAAATGGAATTTTGGTCTGTAGCACCTACACCAAACACCCTGTATATTTTAAAATTATATCAAAATATAGCTCTTATGAACTCCTAGAACTTTTGTATGAAACATTTTTGTGTATCTCCTTCAACAAACCAGATATTGCCTGTCACATAAAATGTAGGACACCCGGTATACCAGCGAGCAGTTTCGTTTCCTGCCATGACTAGGGTGACCATAACTCCTCCTCCTAGCTAGCGCACACTTACTACGCGTGTACGCGAACAGCTCACCATCTATCTTTTCCTGCCTTCCCTCACCACGTTGTCCGCCCAATCACTCATAAATCGTATCTAAATCGTATCCTCAACATAATTTTGTCATTCATCCTTTCCGTCCTCTCCTTCCACTCGCGCCAACCAATCCTGTCCCCGTTCATACATCTATCAATCACGTGCTCTTAAGTTTCAGGCTTCCCATAGTCACAGGGGCAGTGAATCTCCGGATCCAGGTTAAATCTTGCCAGGTATCCTGGAAAGTTCCCATGTCCCGTGAGCAGTTGGGCAGCCTTCCGCGACAGATCTAATGATTCATATCCGACTGTTCCACAAAATCTGTAGAACAGCTGCCCGGTCATGACTCTCTCCCATTCTGCTATACTCTCCTGATATTCTCTTTTAAGGTATTGAATTATTGACTGATTGTAACATATTCGTGGGAATTTGAGAACGAACCAGGACATGACTAATGCCATTGCCTCCGATGCCCTAACCCGTAAGCTCTACATCAGGCATTTGTACTCTATTTAGCGCCACCACTGCCAAGGGAACTCCTTGGCAGTGGTTCATCTCACCAATACGGGGAGATGAATCAGCGGGATTGAAGATCCAATTCCTTCATTTCCAGAAAATTACAAGCAAATCTTATACCATAATACATCAAATATAACTCAGAAATAACAATTGTAGCTTTTTCAAAATAGGCAAACATAAAAATTAGGAATAAAAAAACGAATAATAACATTTCTACTCGACCCAACCCATGTGTCCCAGTGGTACATCAACATCATCGAACTTACTTGGATATATATACAAGCGAGCAGTTTCGTTTCCTGCCATGATTGGTGAGACCATAACCTTTCCTCCTAGCTAGCGTACTCTTACTACGTATGTACGCGAACAGCTCACCATCTATTCTTCCCTTTCTTCCCTTACCACGTTGTCCGCCCAGTCACTCACAAATCGTATGCATTCATCCTTTATCTCATTTACCTCTCTCAACATAATTTCGCCATTCATCCTTTCCGTCTCCTCCTTCCACTCACGCCAACCAATCCTGTCACCGTTCATACATCTATCAATCACGTGCTCTGAAGTTTCAGGCTCCCCATAGTCACAGGGGCAGGGAATCTCCCATGTCCCGTGAGCAGTTGGGCAGCCTTCTGCGACAGATCTAATGATTCATATCTGACTGTTCCACAACATCTGTAGAACAGCTGCCCGGTCATAACTCTCTCCCATTCTGCTATACTCTCCTGATATTCTCTTTTATCCATTTTCTCTCATCTAACTCACTATATGCTAACCAGGACAGATATTATTTGTAGCGTTTGATAAAACAACCTTTCCAAACATTACCCTGCAACTACACTCCAGGAATGTACCCTGGTAGTAAGAGAGATACTCAAGATGCCCTCTAGTAGAGCAATAAGTATCAATGTAGAAGACATCACAGTGAAATGAGTGGTCATGAGGGGATGTCCACATGGAGGGGTTTTATCACCCCTTCTCTGAAACATAGTTCTGGATACCTCAACAATAATGGATATACACAATTGCATATGCAGTTGACATAGTTATCTTGTAGACCGGCAAATTTGTAAACACACTGTGCGATAGAGCCCAGGATGGGCTCAAATTAATAGAAACATGGGGTGTAAGGAACACTCACAGTGATCAATCCCAAGAAGACTGAGATCGTCCTTTTCACCAAGAAAAAAAGTTTATCGGGCTTAAAACCTCCCAAAAGCAAACTAAATTTCTCTGAAGAGGTGAAATATCTTGGTACTATACTCGACATGGAGCTAACATGGAACTCTCACCTATAGAGTAAAGCAAAAAGAGCATATGTGGCTTATGAGCAATGTCGGTGGACATATTGGAGTCTTTCACTTCGTGTAATCACCTGGATCTACACCGCAATAATAAGACCTATGTTAACGAACGGAGCCATTGCATGGGGACCAGAAGTTCTATAAGCAACGATCATCCAATAATTATATCAAATACAGCGACTGACTTGTTTAAACATCACAGGAGCCATGAGAACAACACCAACCGCGGCAATGGATTTAATTACGAGTCTGACCCTCCTGGACCTGTACGTTTAGGAGGTTGCGTTAATGGCCATGGTACGATTACGCACGGCTGGTCTAAACCTCGAAGTTGGAATGGGTCAATTGAGGCTGGGCCTATGGCGAGAAGCGCTTACTACGCAACTTCTGCTGCAGGCGACCAGTGATGCAATTGAACTCAGGTTTGTGTTTAATAAACCCTACAAAATATAAATAAAACAGAACACAGAGTTAGATGCTACAAATGCAATACCCATATATACAGACGGCTCAAAAACCAAAGAAGGTTCAGGACCGACCATCGGACGACATCGGAAGAAAAACAAACACTTAAGTTTCACAGGCTGCACCTATATTGAATCCGTTTTTCTCCCGACCCGATGTGGGACGACCATCGAACAACCTCGGAAGAGAAACAAACACTCAGGTTTTAAAGTAGGTGCCTTCATTCGAAAGGGCAATTTTTCCAAACTTCCCTACTTATAAGAAACTACCCGGATAAATTTGAGGACCACCATCTTATGACTATGGAAACGTCTTCTTGAAGGCATAAAATATGACATAACTGGCCAGTCTAACTTCAGAGCATGCATCAGCCCTTTCACCAGTAATTGGTCCCCAATAACCTCCTATAGTTTAGGCTTAAAATCACCATTATGGTATCCCTTGTTTCGCTGGTACCACAAGAGAGGCTCATCTCTCACAAGAATTATCAAAAACTCTATCAATTTTATTATTCATCATTACCACTCCGTCGGAATGAAAGATCGGACTAAAAACAAACACTTGATTTGACTACTCGTTGGTCAGTAATCGGTAGTGATCGTTTATTGTCGTATCGGACTATCCTTTCCAATAAAGGCACCTACTTCAAAAACTGAGTGTTTGTTTTTCTCCTGATGTCGTCCGATGGTCGGACTACATCGGGTCGGGAGAAATACGGATTCAATATAGGTGCAGCCTAAGATGGGTTAAAGGGCACGACAGGAGTAAAGGTAATCACATTGCCGACTTGTTACCCAAGGAAGCGGCTGGACTAAGAATTTTGGGACCCAGTGGCACCTACGGCCTGATGACTTCGACAATTGCAGAAGTAGCCAAATGTTACACCCATGCTGAATCCCTGAAGATATAAGATGGAATCAAAGGATTTAATCTTGCCAGGATCACCCTGGGCGACCCTGAGAAGCTGGCGCCAAAAAAATATCTGGCGATGCCCAGGAAAAATCTACGCTTAACAGTAGGATTTCTGACTGGCCACTGTCAACTAAGGAAACACCTCCATAATATTAGGCTAGTGGACACACCTTTATGCAGGATGTGTGAACAGGAAGATGAGTCTGTCAGGCATGTCCTATGCGAGGGCCCGGAGTTATCGTCAATAAGAAAGTGTGTGTTTTTCGAGTCTTAGCCTACTCCTGTCGCTATAAAGGAGATGTCTCCCAGTGATCTGCCCACCTTCCTGGAAAGGACAGAATGGACGATGACCTAGTAGGACAACTCCTCAGGAAGACGTATAATGGGTCACATGTGGCCTAAGTGCTGTGGACTTACACTCACCCTCCCTAGTCTACAGATACAGATGCCTAGGTATTAAAACCTGCAGACCACGGCCAGAAAACCCGGAAACTATCTTTCATACAGTCTTTCTATAATCAAAAGGGCTATATTTTTAGGAGAGATAGTTTTTGTTGAAGAAAAATTTTTGGTCTCCCACTTCACCATCTTCATACAAAAAATGTGGGAATCTTCCAAAGAAAAAAAGCAAGCAATTAATTTCTGGTGGAGCATGAAATAATGTTCAGCAGTTTGAATAAACTCACTCTAAGCAGTCCTTTCTTCGCAACATCTTTAGCGCTTTTCGTTAAATCACCGAGAGTCGTTTTTCCGACGTATGTCAGATCATCCAAAGTATTCCTGCTCATAGCTGTCGCTGTTCTGCTGGCTTCCATGGCACTTTTGCCGGCTACTTGGACGCTTTTCGTGGCTTCTTCTGCTGCTCTTTTCGCATGTGACGTGAGCTGAAAATAAAAACACCCAAGAAAGTAACGTAAACTTCTTTAAAAAAGTTGCATTGGAAAGAAATTTTAAGGAACTAACCTTGTCGAAAGGAGCGAATAAATGGCTCTCTTCTGCTTCTATCAATTTGTCTTTGGCTTGAGTTTTCAACTGTAGAAAGAGGTTTGAGTGAAAATAGAAATTAAAACGGCCTTCGTCGACTTCATCTAATCCCTATTATACAATGTTCATGCTGACGGAACTAATCGACTTGTCCACAAAAGTCCACTGATTCAAATATCGATCATTCCAAATGAATCAAATGAGAATTCACTGAGATATTACGGTTCAAAGTACACTCATAAAAACGAAAAAAATTTTGGAACAACCCAACAAAAGAGCGATTGGAACGTGGAACATATTGTATAGGAAAAAATACATGACACATTCAACTAATGAACTTCATGATGAACTGAACAACAAGAACAATACCTTATCCATTTGAGCTAATATTCCATCTTGACTGCTCTGTCTCGTGGTTTCTTTCACCAACTCTTTCGCTTGTGAAGTCAGGTGTTCGAATAGAGACCCTTGAGAACCTTGCCGTGTGATGCCACTGCTCGGTGACGGGGTAGGACCCGGACTGCCACTGCTGGAACTGAAGCTCGATGTTCTAGCCAAAACGTTGCCGACGCTTGGTTGTTTTTGTAACGACGGTGTAATAGGAGGAACCTTTTGAAATCAAAATGATCAAAAAAATTAAACATTGGGTTTTGTCTTGACAACAATATCATGGCAAAAAAGTAACTAGTTTCATTGTAGACAGATTTAGAGATTGAGTTATGAAATTAAGGACCATGGTGCGTATTTAAAAAATAATTTTTCATCTGGAGTTCTCTTTTCTATTTTCATCAATTCCATTCAATAGTGCTGAGTTTGAACATTTCAAATAGTGAAACTGTGTTTTCAGGTGAATTCTCCAGTTTGAAATGGGATAAAAACTCAAAATGGTATTTTTTTAAGGTGTCACTTGACTGTTATTTGAGGGCTCAATAATATTCGAATGACCTATACAGAGTAGCTCGTTCCAACTGGAATATACTTTTTTATCGTATCCATAAACTTCCCTGCAGTAACGTGTACTTCAAAAACCAGCAATTTTTTTCCACAAAAATAACCACAAACGTCTTTGGTTGCGGTGAATACGAACTTTCGATGATCTAGGAAACACTGAATATACAGGAGTCAAGTAAGCATATACTTTCGTCTTCTACTTGTAACAAATTAAAGAATGAACTGTCTTAAATAAATTTATTTCTAACAATATTTCACTATCACGAACTGATTTATATACTACACTTAGCTCTTAATTTATTTCCACTATTTGAATTCCTTGTTTAGAAGCTCGATTCACTTTCTGGATTCAACTGCCTCTTGGGACGAGAAGCCGAGCTTATATATCGGTAACGATCGTTCTAGAATTATCTAGTTGTGTCGATACTCAACTGGAGCTTAACCAGTTGTTGCCGACTGCATTCGTTTTGCGGTGATATCATGTGTTTGCTCGCTGGATGGCATATCGGTCAGTGGCGTCTTCAGATTCGTTACATTCCCCCTTTCTCAAAGACGTTTCGCCCCGAAATGTCATCCTTGACGTGTGTCAATACCTGCAGGACTCCCCATATCTGCACTGTGAAGTTCGATGGAAGTAACACTCCACAGTCTTCATGCTCCGTCGTAGAAGATGGTTACCGCACACCAAAATCTTGATGCCGCTGGATCTGAATATCGTTTCCAACATGCTTCTCACAATTCTCCAATCCAGCCTGTTGAGCCCAGAGGCTAATTTAGGGGATTACCAAGTCCACGAGATTCTGGTCAAGCATCGTGTCCCTCAGTCTAGTAAAACTCCTCCAGACATCTTCATAGGACGGTTTCTCTCGAGAATGCTTTTTGGTCACCAGGTTTCTCTGATCCTTCTTCAACTGTAGCACTCCTCCGACTTCAGAATTCTGTTCTCGAAATGTTTGGAGCTGACCGAATTCCTTCTTGAATACCACAGCGATACCCCTGGACATTTGGAGATTATCTGTCAGGCAGTGAGCTAGTACGTAATCAACTGGAACCTTGAAAAGGTCTCGTAGCTCTTCTTGAGTTACCCCATGTACGACTTTCTGTCCGACTTTCTGGTCTGAGGGCGCGAACATGGTCGTGATTTCCAGCAAAAGAAGCCAATTTTTGAAAATGGACGACCCTAGGCTTTCCTCGAGATGGCTTATCGATTTGGTAAACGAGGTCATTCATCTTATTCATGATTTTATACGGACCTTCCCACGAGTTCCGCAACTTCGGTGATAAACCACGGCATCGCTTAGGGTAATACAGCCAAACTAGGTCACCAGTTTCGAACCCTCCAGCATTCGCATTGATAACATAGGTCTTCTTCATCCTATCGCTGGCACTCCGAATGTTCAGACGGACTAATTCATGGATGTCGTCCATTCTCTGTCGGAAATGTTGAGCATGAAGCGTGTGACAGCGAAATTCGTTTCAAAATTGCATTAGCATCGCACAGGAATTGTTGAATGACATCAACGACGTTACAGATGATTTAAAAGATCATGACTGGTGAGGAATCATGAGTATATGGTATTTATATCGAAACCAAAATCCAATCGTCGCAATGGATGAACCCAAGACCAATAAAATCACGTTTCTGCTACGTGGTCGTATGGTTAGTAAAGAGTATCATCTTGAAGTTATGCGCCGTTTGCGGTATTGTGGAAATACCTGCTCACTCGCCATTACTAACACCGTAATCATACCTCAGCCACTGTATTCACCAGATTTACCTCCCTGCGACTTTTTCCTTTTTCCAGGATCAAAGAGACCCATGAAAGGCCGGCGTTTCGCAACGATTGAGAAGATGAAAACATAATCGCTGAGAGAGCTCAAGAACATAATAATAATTGTAATAATAATAATAATAATAGCTTTATCGTCCAAAAGTTGTCTATTTACAGGCAATAAGATTTTATTCATAGTGCTCAACCATAAAATACGAAAAATAAATTGAACAAAAAAAAGTAATTCTAATGACCTACTTCAAGTACAAATTAGTGGAGAATATATCACAATGGGAACAAGTGCTATTGAAATTCATACACATAACATATATTGTAGAATTTAGTATAATGTTAGTTCTTGTTCTGGAGGTCTAAAAATGGGCTAGATCGTGAAACTGGCCGTGATACATTGAAGTTAATTTGTTCCAAAATTTTAGGACAGTCAACTCTCTCGTTTACTAATTTGAATGAAAATATGAGCGACGCACATTTTCTGCGATGCTCTAATGTAAAAAGTTCCAAACGTTCATATATGACATCATTACTGATACCTCTCTCAGGGTAAGAGCCGTCTATTCTGAAAATTGGAGATTTACAAAACTTTCTTTGAACTCTTTCAATGGCTATGTTATGAATCTCATAGAGTGTACTCCAGAGGATACTTGCATATTTTATCTTCGAACGTACGTAGGTGAAATACACCGGCTTCATAGCTTTAATATTATGAAAGTTTCTGCAATTTCTAACAATGAAACCATAAGCTCTCAAAGATTCTGGAGTTTTTTGTGAAATATGTCTACCAAATGTTGATTTATGGTCGAATATTACTCCAAGGTCTTTGATCTCATTACATCTCAGCAGATCTTAATCCTGTATTATATACGGAAATATATAAACCTCTTTTTTTCGACTATAACTCACTACTTTACGTTTCTCCACATTGAGTTTCAATTTATTACTACGGCACCAAGCAACAAGAAATTCTAATTCTAATGCTAATGTTAGCATAACCGCTAACATGCTAAACTTTCACATAAGTCATTAATAAACAATAAAAACAAAAGAGGACCTAGGTTGGAGCCCTGGGGCACACAAGGAGAAGCTATATGTGCATAACAAAAAGTGCATATCAAAACTACTTCGAGTATTGGGGAAAACGCTGGGGTTCTAATTGGAAATTGAAATAGAAATTGATGAATAAATGAATATTTTTGGGAAAAATGAAAATTCATCTCATATTTTGAACAGACAGCGTATGCCAACGAACACTTTGGCGATAACCATTCTAGAATTTGAAGATTTGAAAAAATGTGGGAAATGACTTCGAAAAACTTACTGTGGGAGAAAAACTCAAGAAACTCCATTGAAACGAAAGATTTTCTATGAAAAACTATTTCATATTAAAAACTCTAGTGGAAGTTTTGATGGAGTTCTGAATTGGAAAGTGAAAACACCTTGAATAAACTTGAATTTCCACTTACCGGGGTGACCGTTCTTCTCCCCTTCCTGGACGTAACGGATCTTTCCACTTCAACGGGCGACCCCTGTTTGACATTAGTGGAACTGACAACGGTTTTCGGGGTGGTTGTAGAATTAGAATCCGACTCGTTTTCACAACTCCCCGCTTCATCTTTATCGATTTTGGCAACGTTAACTCGCTCGCTTCTCAATTTCTCAGCAAAATCCAGCTCGGAGTCTCTATTAAACGAGGGCGAGCTCAAATCAGAATCGCTGCTGGAAGAGGACTGCGGAGAATCCGATCTAGCTTGCGGTACTTCCCCACCGGGATACTGCAGCTCCGAAGGTGGCTTGTAAACGGTCGCAACGTCGATGCTCGACGAGAACGACATGTTTTGCGCGGAAGCTTTTCTCTGTTCGTGGAACGAATTGTAGCCAGGGGAGAGATCTGAGGATGCCATTTCGGAGACGAAATCGCTGAGGGAGGAGTAGCTCGAACTGGTGCTTTCTGCATCTTCGGAGTCAGATCCGCTTTCATCTGTTGGTTGGTTTTCCACCATTTGGATACTCCTCAGTGCTCCTAGAAAAGAAGGTTTATAATTTTCATAGCTCTTCATTGATTTTTCCAAAACTTTGTATTGTGTGAATCATGTGTTACTTATATATAAATCACATCGTTATGAAGTTCTTGGGGTTGCTTTGGATTTGATGAAGTCTTATCTGCAGTACAGGACACAAAAATCAATAGTGCAGGGAGTTGGAAGTCATACCTTAGAAATCAAACACAGAGTCCCTCAGGGTTCTGTATTCGGACCTTTCCTCTTTTCAATGTACGTAAACGATCTGATGAGCATCTCTAAGAGTCTTACAGAAGTTCACGTAGTTGCATAAACAGATAATAATAACTTTCTTCATACTGTTGAAAATTCAGTAAATCGTTTAGGTATTATGGAAACTATGAGAAAATAATAACTTTGGTGGAAAAATATGTATCGCTGGATATCAGCAAAACAGCTCTCATGAAATTTTCAATGCTGGATACAACCAAATCATTTCACGTATCGTATAACGCTCAATTTTTACCAACCCCAAACTGTTACCTGGCAAATTGTTTTTTCAGGTTGCCAGCACTTCACTGCATAAATGGCGGCAAATTCAAATCTTGAGTTAATTCTAGGACTGTCTAGTTTGGCAGAGCAGTACTCTTACGATCTGACATGAAATATCACCCATATAACCCATATAAACTAATCTTTAATAAGCTGGGTTTATTTGGTCGTGTGTAAGTAGGTATCAGCCACAATGAAAAACCCTCGCGGGTTGCGTTGAAGAGTGGAATAAACGTACTCACTTCTGACTTAACCTAACCTAACCTAATTCTGGGACACCCTTGAGAATATTTTATATCCTTGATTTTATTTATTGATAGTTCACCAAAAACTGTAGAGTTTTCATGAACATGAGGGTATTATATATTCCAAAATCTGTTATTTCTAATAAATGAAAACTGACTGTCAGTTCTCACATTTGGTTTCGATCTATGTCCATTACCCTGTATTAAAGATAGTAAGCTAGGGTGGTTGTCAAATTATTTTTTTATACTTTTCTTGAATTATGGGCTAGAATTCTCACAGCGGATAACAAGAATAAAGGTACAACTAAAAGGTATGAAAACTGTTGGAAGATACTGAAAGATAAAAAAGTTTGTTCTCGTTTATTGATGTTTTGAAAGGCTTATAACAGGATCAATACTCCTCGTAAACAAGGTGACTTGTCCGTTCTTGCTGATAAATCAGGTGCTATTTCTAAGGATTATGGAGTGTTAGATGAAGACAGTGGCATTCCATTCAGAGGACTGTTCATCATTAATGGAAAAAGAATTTTGTGGCAAATCACTATCAACGATCTACCAGTAGGTAGATCTGAGGACGAAACCCTCTGACTTGTTCAAGCTTTCCAGTTTACTGACGAACATGGAGGTGTCTGTCCAGATGGCTGGAAACCTGGTGGAAAGACATTGAAACCAGTCCCCTACTTTTCTTCTGCAAATTGATGATAGCTCATCAATTTCATCAGAATTAGACTGAAGGAAATCGTCAAGATAGAGTGGAAGTTATTTTTACAGTAATTCTATTCTCTTAGTTGAGATAACTTTATTTCATTTTTTTTCTTCCTACAAAACCTTCCAGATATTTTTCGTTATATTTTATGATATTTATTTTCTGTATTTTCCAAAATGCATCTGAAGTGTTGAGCTTTTCATTCAATTTTTGAGAAAATAGGAATTCAAACTTTTCCTCCCGGTTTTTGATATTTCAAATTAATTTTGAATGGTGTAGGTTTTACATAGTTCCGACCTAAATGATTATTTATGTAGCATTTAGCAACGTTTGAAAATTTTCCAGCAAACAACTCAGCTGCTCATCCAAATAGTTTTTCAATTAATTATGTAAATTACAAGTTTTACATCAGGCATAAAAACCACTCTGCCAATACTCACCATTCAACGAACTGCCATCATCCCACACAACGAACTTGATGGGTTCCAGAGTGTGCATGAACCATTTGGGCTTATCTCCAATCAGGGCCGGATCTAGCACGCCGGTGTGAACCCTCTGGAAAGCGACGTTAGTCGGAGTGAGTGACCATTCTGCCAGAAACTCAACCGCTTGCGTTCTTGCAAAGCGATTCAGGAACTGCGACGCCCTTGGACGGGATCTCAGGAAACTGTTGATCTGGAACGCGACTACCGGCCGGGGGTACAGTCGGAGAGTTCTCGTATGTTCGGAGAAATTAGCCAAGGTGTTTTCGGAATTGAAAAAACGTACCTGGAAACCGTAATAATCATCAGATTCTACAGTGTGACACACTTAAAATGAAGACACTGTATCTCAGTAATTTTTGAAAACAGAGATTTGATTTTTGGTGCAGGCGTAGACCTTCACTTAGCCCGAGTGACAGCCTTAAACCCAGCCTTAAACCGTGAAAAGGGCATATTTTCAATATTCTGCTTCGCATTAGAGATACCGAAATAAGTTATTTGAAAAAGTTGCTTCGAAATCGATTTTGAGTCTACATACCAAACCTCAACCCAAAATTCGGGATTTGATTTTTTTATAATTTTCATATTCGAATTCAATTTTCAATTCATGTTTTCGAATAAAGAGCTATAAATGTATTCATTCAGGTTTTTCATTCTTTCGTAGTTCTCATTTAGAACCATTAATTGAAAATCGGACTCGAATATGAAATTTGAAGCATACTTCACAATGAATAAAGTGATAATATCTCATGAAGTCACACAACAAAACAAAATGGTGAGCAACAAGCAACTATTCAGTTGCTTGTTACATCCTAAATTTTGAATTTTACTATTTCGGACTTTGATTGTCTACTATGATTCTAATATCACAGTAAATTACAGTAAAATAAAAAAGTAAGTGAAGTAAGAACTTAAAAATTTACCAATTTGAAAAAAAACGACTAAAAAGAATTTCAATCAAGTTACTTCACGACGTTTTGATTGTTAGTATTCACAATCGTCTTCAAGTGATAACTGGACTTATTCTTCCAAAAGATGACTATTTCTAGGACGAGTGCTTTCACCTATCCCCTCTTCCCCTTCTACGCTTCACCGGTTTAGCGGGAGTTGACCGTTTTTCCGCTTGATTACGGGTTTCCATATGCTGAGTATCTTTACGCTGGCTTGGCTAAATGCGTCGTTGGACAACATATATGCAGCTTTTTTGAACTTACTTCCAAACCAGTGTTCCTCTCTGTGGATGATCTCAGCTTGGGACCATTTGATGTTATGTTGATAAGTCCAAACATGCTCCGACATTCCCGATTTACTGGTTCATTTTCTTTGTGTGTTTTTCTTGTGCTCGGCAATGCGAATTCAATGGTCTCTTAGTTTCACATGTAGGTTTTGCCGTACTCACTGGGTGTCCAGTAAATTCAATTCTTGGAATTTCAGTCCGCGTACGGTGGCCTATTTTTTGTGAGGCTGCTACGGAGGTTTCTACCGGATCTGAAGCAGATTCTGATGTTGTACTTAGACCCAATCCTTCTCTTCCTTCTGATACTTTTGCTGTCTTCCAGCCAAACTATGTTCTACCATCACTTTGAAGTAACCATATCGTTGAAGATCTTTTCTGATGATGCCTGCTTCCTTCTCGAAACCTTCCTGCGTATTACCGAGCCCAAATGCACGATCCACCAAACTCTTGATGATTATTTTTTCGTAGATTGATGGTGGTTGGATTTGTGATTCAGATACTATCCCGTATGAGTGGGTTTTCAATATACAGATGTTTCCCACTTAGTGTCGGTCTTCTTCACCGATACGTCTGAGAATAGCAATTCGTTGTGTACTTCTTTCTCAATTGTGAAGGTGATGTAAGGTTTTGCGCTGTTGATGTGCTTCAGAAACGTGTCTAGCTCTGTATTCCCATGGTTTCATACTATGAAGATGTCGTCAACGTATCTCAACCAGACTCGGGACTTCTTGTGGGCTTCTTCAAGAGCCAGAGTTTTTAACCACTCCATATATATTATTGTTATTATTATATACTTTTGTGTAAGTTTGACAAGATGTTTCTTAATTAATCACACTGTCTCCAGAATAAAAAGAGCTACAACCGTCAAAATGATTTTATCTATAAACAGTTGCCTGCATGAGTCACGGGGTTTAGCTTTGCTTAAGTATCTTATAGCTCTCTTCCGTAATACAAATACAGACTCCAGCAAATTAAGGCTACACACACCCTATAACTGGTGAAAGTGTCGATCTCATTGGCAGTCCCTCATCTTATGTAGAGAATAAGTCCTTTCGTTCCGTACACAGCATCCTAGTAACTCCATGATTACTTCTATAGGTAGGTACGTTCTATCTTCTAGGTCCTGGTCTTTGGATAGGTTCCTCTATATGATTTGAAGTGCTTCTTCGACAGGAACGTTGATGTAAAGGCTTTCCACGTCGAAACTGATTGATTGATCTCGCTCTATGACTTTGATTGAACCAATAGAAGTCCAAACTAGTAAAATTCGCCATGAAACATTGTCAACCACTTTCAAACAAACATCCCTGATTTTGATACGCAACGCAATTCGAGAGGCAACTGTTTACATTTCCTACAGGCTGTTGTTTTTTACTCACCATTGCCACTCGAGTAGCGACATCTACGGAGTCGACGTCATTTCCATAAATGAACGGATTGTAACTAGCAGAGGGCGTACCAGGGCGTGAAGAAGGTACATACGGTACTTGCGGCGTAAGTGACAGTCTTTGTTGAGTTGCGGCATTCACTGGTGATGCTGCCGGTAATAGGTTCGATTCAGGCGATCTACTCCTGCTAATACTACAAAAAACAATTGTAACACACAAACTTTAAGCAAGATTTTGTTGAGAACTGCAGGATATTGGACAATAAAACACAATCTATGTATCCCGCCTTTTCTTATTGCTCCTCCAGAATTTAGGTGTATAGTACAAATCTGGTACTCTGTACTATAATTTAGCTCGCTGGCAGACAAGTTTGTCTGGCCATCATTGGTGCCATCAGTACCACACTGTTAGCGGCCATGAGGATCCTTCTAGATCTACCTCCTCTCCACATTTTTCTGAAAAAAGAGGCTAGATGCATACAGACTTGTGCACATGGCCAATTGCACAAATCAATTTAATGCAACGGACTGTTGGTTGATACTGCAAGTCACAGCATTCTAGAAATGACCTCTGACTTTATGCCTCTAACTGTCAACTACGAACTGCCTTATAAGGTACTGTTCCCGAGTAGACAGGACTGGATCCTCCGGGAGAAGGAAATATTAAGAGCAGATAGTTTTGCTAAATTGGTAGCAAATTGCCGGAAACGACTCTTCTGGATAGAAAGATTCAACAGATTTTCTCTGGTCTGAATTGCTGGTTATACTCACCTGGAAGGCAATGAACTGCTGACTCTCTTGCAAAGGAGGGTGCTGCAAGTAGCTTCATCGCACCAGAACCTGTCCGATAGATTTAGGCTTTGCCAAACAAAGATTGAACCACTGGATGGCAAGAAGATTTATGAACTTCTGGCAGAATCTTCCAGGATTGGCTCACTCCAAGGCGTTTATCCACCCTTTGAAGCTTGATACCAAACAGTTGTTGGACTACAGTAGGTATGAACTATGATGTCTAAGAGGCCTTCTCACAGGTCACTGTCATTCGAATCATCATATACAGAGACTCTGACTGTTAGAAGACAGTATGTGTCACCTCTGTTTGGAAAATGATGAAACAGCAGAGCACATACTTTGTGCCTGCCCCGCTGGGAAACGAATCAGGTTTTTAGAGTTCGGCAGAGCCGTCTTCTTACCATCTGACCTTAAAGACCACTCACCATACAAACTAATCGGCTTCGTTAAGAAGCTGGGTTTATTTAGTCGACTGTAAATATGTGTGAGCCACAATAAACCTTTGCGGGTTGTGGTGGAGGGTCGAATAGACCCACTAACTTTGGACCTAACCTAACCTAACTATAATTTATACCTAAGCTCTAAGGAAGCGATAATAGAAATCTCGAAACATCAACAGAGACGTGTTATGTGTTTTATTATTCGATTCCCAGCAATTTCTCAACAAAGTTGTTTACTGAACTGAATTTCAATAAACTAATCTGCAGGATTATTCCAAAAATGAAAATAGAATTCAGGTTGTACTAACCTAGGGTTGACTGGTGACGATGATATACTTTCTCTTCTAGACGGATGGAGTTGCTGTGAACCATTGCTTGGAGTTGTCAAGTTACTGATGGCCTGGAGAGATTCAATTATTATTTCCTGTTAATTTCACCTCACTGAGAGAACTCGTTAATCAACTATACACACAAAGGTAGGACAAGCTCTGTAAATGTGGCTAGGCTTTTATTATTCTGTTCTTTCTTGTATTAGTTTCATGTGTCAACTAGAACCTTTTTTATACATACTCGTTTTTACAACTTGATTTGAGAATAGGTTAAAGTTTTGAAGTTACGAAATCTGGTCAGAAATTTGTTGAACAAAAACTTATTTTTTCAAATAAGATATCAATATTTATTGATAGAAAAAAAATTAATGGGACTCCCTATATATTCCTGCATATTTCAATAGATCTTAAAATCACCTTCTCAAAAATGTAGCATACTTGATATTTTGCTAAAGTCACGTCTGAAATACAGAGCTTTAATTTTTTTTTATTCATCAGATTTTGAAACGCATACTTTGATCAAGTAGGCTTTACACGACGCGGCGATAAAACAGAAAGAAATTGTTCAGTAGTAGCTATCGAATGTTGACAAAGCTTTTCACAGTAGTAATTAAAACGCATAACAATTTATACTATATTTACTACTAATTAATGAAACTTCGACGATAATAATAATGAAGAAGAACAAACAATGAAACATATTTCCCCCAGAGAAAGTGTTCAAAATATCTGTCAGTTTTTCCTTCACAGAGGCGACACCTTTTCTGAACGTTTTTTACCGAAATAATGAGTTCAATAGAAGTGAGAGAAGCAAAGCTTCGCATCACTGCCGCTTCCAATTCGTATCTAGAGTTGGTCGGAAATTCAAAAATGGGATATTCCAATCTTTTCCAAAGATCCACAAGCGTTAAGTCCGGTGACCTGGTCGGCCAACGGTTGGTTCCTTGGTTGGCTATCCAATTATTACCAAAATTTGCAATCACAGTGTTGTGAGACGGAGCCTCGTCTTATTGAAAATACATTTTATATTTTTCTGAGCTCCATGAGTTCAATATTTTGGGTTGAAATTTCTAAATAACTCTGAGATAAGAGAGTGCCATTATGAATATCTCTGAAAGATTGATTTTTTTCTGGATACCTTTCGTGATACAAATTGCTTGCTGATTCTGCATTTCGCCGGTTTGTATCATGTTTGTATCAGCCTATCATATCCCATTCTTCATACTTCAGTGCGGAAGAGTTTGAAAATTGAACAAAAACCACTATCGACTACCTAAATCAAGGCGGGTTGGCTATCCTTGTTCAGCTTTCACTGCCTGCCGTAATTGACCTTTTTTCCTAGCTACTCGTGGACAGAGTAAACTTAAAAATTTTTTCTGATGCTGAGTCTATAGAGGAGATGGATGTCGAGCTTACGACTCCAACTGACCTCCCTGTAAACTTAGATCAGGAACGAGTCTACAGAGGTGATGAATGTCGAGTTTACGACTCCGACTGACCTCCCCGTAAATTTATTTCAGGAGCGAGTCTACAGAGGAGATGGATGCTGAGCTCACGACTCCAACTGACCTCCCTGTAAATTTAGTTCAGGAGCGAGTCTACTGAGAAGATGGATGTCGAGTTTACGACTCCAACTGATCTCCCTGTAAATTTAACTCAGGAGCGAGTCTACAGAGGAGATGGATGTCGAGTTTACGACTTGAATCGTCTCCTCAAGAGCGGGGCACCTTATAAAACCGCCTTGCACCAAATTCTTGAGCGGCGTACGCAGAAACTGTCTCAGGTGGGGGAACAAAGCCCCCATGAGCAGATTAGCAAACGTTTGCGCTAAGTGATGATTCACCAAAATCAGAAGCGAAAAAGCCCTTCACGGCTGAATCTAAGGCATTGTCAGGTGTAGCTGACTTGCAAAAACCCTCATATGGAAAGGTTGTCGTGGGTATCAAGTTGGGAATCTTGCAACTTGACTATCCCACTACCTCTTCAACAGAGCATATACTTTGTGCCTGCCTTGCTGGGGACCGAATCAGGTCTTTAGAGTTCGGCGAGCCGCACTCTTACCTTCTGACCTGAAAGACCACTCACCATACAAACTAATCGGCTTTGTTAAGAAGCTGGGTCTATTTGACCGAGTGTGAATTGGTGTGAGCCACAATAAACCCTTGCGGGTTGCGGTGGAGGGTCGAAGAGACCCACTCACTTTGGACCTAACCTAACCTAACTATAATGTATGCCTATGCTCTGAAGAAGCGATAAATAAAGTCTCGAAACATCAACAAAGACGTGGCATGTGTTTTTTATTATTCGTTTCCTGGCAATTTCTCGACAAAGTTGTTTGCTGAACTGAATTTCAAAAAACGTATCTGCAGGATACACAAAATTTGACAGCTACCAGTAGAGGTTTGCATTCTGTATTATCGCTTTATTGTCCAAAGCCTACCTGATCAAAGTATTCGCTAAAAAGTCCACATGAAAAAAAACTAAAAGCTCTGCATTTCAAAGATAACTCCAGCGTAGTATCAAGTATGCCACAAGTTTGGAAAGGTAATTTCAAGATCTACTGGAATATATGGAAATATACAGGGTGCCTCATATTGAAAAAATAAGTTTTTCACAGCATTAAATTCTACGTCAAAAAGTTACAGCAACTTTTCGAAAATGCACATTTTCGAAGAAACCAGAAACGGCGATAGAAGTCGATATGCGGTTTTCTCCATTGAGTTTGTCATAAAATCTGATCCTCAGACACAGCCATCAGTTTTCATCTATATAATTAGTAAACAGGAGTTTCCCTTCAAAAATTTCCGATTTGGCGCACTCTGTACATCCTGATAAAAGCTGGAAATGGACAGTTACCATTTCTCTTTATCGATCGCACATCTCAGAGACACAGCTATATTTGCCAAGCTATACAAACTAACAACAGGATTCATTTACGTAAACATGCACAACTATCAATCTACTTCATTCAAGTTCGTAAAAACCAAAAATCAAAAAATTTTAATAAGTCAGTGAATAAGTCAATTTCAATAAGTGTTCATTTCATTTCACTTGAAAACATGGTAAACTCAAATCTCAGCTGAGAAATATCTCAAGAGGCGTACCTCAAACATCTATTCTTTGGCCAACAATTTTTTCCATTCGTATAAATTCGTTTCAACGTCGAATTTGAATTGTGATTCGAAATCTTTCGCGAATGAAACAACATTGGTTTATTGAAAAATGAAATAAGAAGTCCAATTCATTGTAGCTCAATCTAGAAGAGTTTAGTTTGACCTCTAAAATATTCGACTGTTAAATTGTATAACTCAAATGTGAAGTTAATGCATTTATTGAACTTTGTGAATCAGTAGCTATTTTCATTACTGCAAAAAAAATCTTATGATCAAAATAATTGTAAATGGAAAATTATGCCTATGGCATAGAAAAGCCAAAAATTATTTTTGAAAAATCACCCAAAGTACAAACTCGAAATTTAACAAAATTTTAAAATTTTAATCAGTTGGAGTTTTGAAAAATCATCAGTGCACAAACACAAAATACAACTTTGAACATGCGGTAAGATTTTGAAGAAGTTTGCAACAAATTCATTCCATTGACTAATATGATAAGAAATCTATGAAAGAACAAATAAAATCAGAATGAATAGCTAATATATCAAGTTTATTAGGCAATAAAATATGAAACAAAAATGCAATAAAACGAATGAAATGATCAAGAAACAAAATGAGTGAAAAAATGACATAAAAACGAGCAAAAAATGAAAAATTGAAAAATAAAAAAAAATAAACCAAATCACTTCACTACTTTTCGATTGTTGATATCCATAATCATCTTCGGGTGATGACTGGACTATTCCTCCGAGAGAAGACTCGGAGTTCATTCCAGCGCTTTCACTTATTCTTTTTTTTCTCTCCTCGCTTCACCGGTTTAGCGGGAGTTAACAGTTTTTCCGCTTGATAACAGGTTTCCATATGTTGCGTATCTCTACGGTAGCTTGGCGGAATGCGTCGTTGGAAAACATATATGCAGCTTGTTTGAATTTCCTCCTAGACCAGTGATCCTCCCTGTAGATGATCCCAGTTTGGGATTCCTCGATGTTTCATTAATGAGTCCAAACATGCTCTGCTATTCCCGATGTTGTGTTTTGGACTCATCAACATATCATCAACTGGTCCTAAGCTGACAAAATCCGCAGCGAGGAACACTGGTTCAAGAGGAACTTCAAAGAACCTGCAATATGTTGTTCAACGACGCATTCAGCCAAGCAGCGTAGGGATATTCAGCATATGGTAATCTGTAATCAAGCCAAAAAACGGTCAATTCCCGCTAAACCAGTGAAGCGGAGAGAGAAAAGAGGGGATAGGTGAAAGGGCTCGAATAACCTATAAATAGTAATTTCTCCAAGGAATAGTTCAGTCATCACTCGAAGACGATTGTGGATACTAACAATCGAAAATTCGTTGAAGTAATTTGATTTGAAGTCTTTTTTAATTTTTATAATTTTGCAATAAGTATCTTTTTTTTATTTTTGCTTATTTTTATTTTCATTCCTTTTAATTTTTTTTCACTCTGTGGTCATTTAATTCATATCTTGATTATTTTATTCGTTTTATTGTACTTTCATTTCATGTTTTATTGAAATCTGCCTGATATCATTGATATTTTAGCTATTCATTCTAATTTTATCTATTCTTTCATAGATTTCGAATCGAACTAGAATTATATTAGATAATGGAAGTCCGAAACACTGTCATACACTTTCAAACAAACATTTAGCACTGGGTTGACTTATGTAGTGAGTGATTTGTGTAGTGTGTATGTAGTGATTTATGATATTGACTTCTTTTTCTTTCGTGTATGATCATAGTTGTCAACTCATTGATTGAAAATTATAAAAAATGTATTAAATTTCTTGTTTTCAATATTCAGGTTTTCAAAAATATAGATTTAATCACACAGAACGACAGATTCATTGAATTCTGAAAATATGAAATGATTAGACATCAATAAATTCAAAAAACACTGAAGCATTGAGTAATACTGAAATGTTTGTGGAAAAATCTTCCGGGAATTGTGAATTTGAGAATATTTTTCCTCGTATCCACTTTATATGTAAATCTTAACACTCTTGGTGTTCATTTATCAATGTTTGTCATAACTTATGTGGTTGAAACAATTAAGTTAAATCAATACCATAGTAGATATTCAGTAGTATCTCAAACATCGAAAGAAAAAAAAACAGTTCTCTCAAAATATCCTACAACTACACAGCAGCAGTGCAAAAATGATTTGGATATTTACTCCAGTGCCCACTTGATCCATGAGTTGCATTGCCTTTTTGGTGAAAGCAGAGGATAAAACAGTTATAAAAATGGACACATCAGTTTTGTAGTTATCGAAAGTTAACTCACTTGTTTCAGGTGATTCTTCAAAATAGTTCCTTCCGGTTCCGGCAGGGCAGGAATCTCATAAGGACACACCAGTTTGTTCGAATCCAAATCCACCAACCAGACGTCATCAGGAAGCCTTACAGAAATAAATTAAGTAAAATATACAGATCACCATTACTGTAACTGGAATTTAACTATTCCTTGAATAAGTCAATTTTTTGTCAGTAAGTTAAACTAAGAAAAATACCGTATGATGATATTTCAGCTGTGGACTGCATCCAAATATAAGAAGGAAATTTACGGATATCAATTCAAACTTTTACAGGCCCTTCAAAAAATAATTGGCCGAGTAATCTAATACAATTCCAACATAGCTTTAATGCTTCACAAATTGACTAGGCGGGAATCCTGCACTGAAACATGTCGGATATAATCCAATGCCCTTCGTGGTATTAGCCAGGGGAGTAGTTGTTTTCTGATAGGTGTCAGTCCATTTACTTACAATGTAGCCAATTCAAGGCTGGCGTGAACGAATTGTTCTTTTAGATAATTTTATATATTTAATGATCTATCCATGATTATATTCATCGATACTATTTCACAGACTACTATGATTGAAAATAGCTCACAAATAGTCTCCTTGTTCATTAGCTATAACATCTATGCAGATATTGAAATATATGTATGTAAACTCATATTCATACATGCTATATAATATAGTTCAATTAGGTATAATTTTATTCAATCTACATTAATTTCTCACTTACTTTCATTGTTATTTATTCATAATTGCCTATATTATAAATCCACAAACAAGTATGCGTAATACTTCTGACAAAAGTGTGTTTTTGTAGTGTATCCTCAGTGACTTCTGTGGATATTGTTATGTTCATTAATTTTTGTACCCAAATTTGATATTTCTGTATCGATTTTTTATCAGAAATAAATGTCATTATTACTATTATATTATTTCAGTCTCCTATTTGTTATACTTACTTGAAATTTTTCTTATACATCAAAAAACTAGCTGGAAGACCAATTATGAACGGCGTAGGTGCGAGTAAGAGCTGAAAAATTTCCAAATAAATTTGAATATAAGAATCTACATCTCAAGTTTGGTTTCGAGAGAAACAAACTATTACAAGTAACGGTAAATCAAGTAAGTAAATCAGTTTTGACCAAAATTCCTTTTTCAACTGTACGTGAAATATTCAAAAATAAACGTAATGAACGCAAGGCGCGATATGATACAGGATTACCTAAACCTTCAGATGTTTATCTAATAAAATCATTGAAAAAAACAATATACGACTGTAACAAAATCAATGAGATTCTCACAACTGAAATTAAAAGGAAGAAATTGAATACTTTCGGTCATAACGTGAGCTGCTGTGACAAATTTCTTCAGAATTGGATGAAGAAACTAGAATTTAGATTCAAGATAATAAGCAAACGTGAAGCAGTTATGGAAAGCAGAATAATGGTGGAATTGCGTAACGAACACTTAGAACAAATAACTAAATATAGACAAAAACCACGGCAAATTTTTTATTTGGACGAAACTAGATATGACACTCACAACACAGGTTACGAAAGGGTGGACTGATGGTTCGAGAATGTGTACGCCTAACATGCCTGCAAACAAGGGATGGCGACCAATCATTGTGCATTGCGGACGTAGTAAAGGATGTGTTGCGAATTCTTTGAAATTATTTGGAAAAAAACTTGAGGACTGCAATGTTGACTATCATAAAAACATGGAAGCTAATATTTCCGAAGAATGACTTCCTATCATTTGTGACACCTCATCAAAGTACCGAATAAAAAGATAACTATACCAAAAACCAACTACTCCAATTTTCACAGACGAAACATTTGAAGAAGTGTATGCCCTTGAGAGTATTGCTGAAAAGTTGTTGCCACGTGGCAAGTTGTTGCCACGTTGTTGTACAATCAATGAGAAGTATTAACTTGAAGTTATACGGCGCTTGCTGAAAGAAATACGAAGAAAACGTCTGGTATCATGGAAGAACGAGTCATGGCTGTTGCAATACGATAATGCACCTCCATTGCTTGGTAGTAAGTTTTTGGTAAATTCAACACCGCAATCATGCATCAGCCACCGTATGAACCAGATTTGGTCGTCTGCGACTTTTTCCTCCCAAAATTGAAGAGACTCATGGAAAGATGGCGTTTTACGACGATTGAGGAGATAAAAACTGAATCGATGGGAGAGAGATAAAAAAGAAATGAAAAAAAAAATAAAATTCACCTTATTTTTTTAACAGATAGCGTGTTTATTGTGCTTGTCTAGGTTATGACGTTTAGATACACATCCTACACGAATATACTGCAGCGATTTGGCGAATAGTTGAGAAAATTCTCTAATATTTTTGCTCAGTCAATAATATTTTTTCGGTAATAAACAACCAGTTAAAACAACCACCTCTTTAATATTCGGAACACGTTAGTTGTTCACACAATCATTAGGTACATAATTTGAATAAAGTACAACATGAACAGTAACTGAATATCACAAATTGAAAATGGTTTTTCATTGAATAAATTTTCAGCCATGAAATTCCATTTTAAGATATAAATGATCATATGCTCATGACTCATTAACTCTGATGAGAAAACTCTGTATAATCATCATAATGAACATTCAATTGGAAAAATATCCAAAACGATCTCACCTGTTCTGCACAGTTCATACACGTAGGTAGTAACGGAATGACTGGAAACATATATTCCAACGGATAAATCATGGTAACAAAAGCCATCACAGACATCGACAGAGCATTGTAATCCCTAGATTGGAGTATCACTTTGTTTTCTAACAAAATTATCGTCAAAACTTTCAGGCATGTTTCCACACCTGCAAATAATACTCAATAATATTTCGACATGACATATAGTGTACAAGATTGAATAGTGGCGTAATTATTAATTTTATGGTGATTCAAAAGAATTTTAATCAACATTTGCGAGAAAAACGGAATAGGTCATTGCTAGATTTATAATTTAAAACATCAAACTTGGGAAAACATTGCCATAAGAAACCGAAATAACAAACATCGTATGGATGCTAGATCAATTCATTTATTATTTCAATCGTATTCACATGGGTTTTCCCTTAGTTTTGTGTCGAATCTAGCGCCATCTTTCGGCAATAGTAATATCGAATTCTTATTCCAACTGCTGGTGCTACTTCTGCAACTCACCTAGTAATTCTAAAGGTAGATGCAGCGGAAAATCCACTAAACTAAACCTAGTGTGGTTTGGCAAGGCAAAAATCAGAGGATCATAAACACTCGGAGACAGAATTTCTACCTCGACTCTGAAAAAATGTCAAAAAATTTCATGAATACAAGTTTTCGATATAGCAATTGAAAGAAAAATGTAATCTGGGTAGAATTCGTTCTTCTCAATCTATTTTAATGGAAATTTGATACCAAATCTTTTTTTTTCTCATCATTCAACAGTCATAAAGATAGAACAAGAGAATACCCAGCAGATTTCACTGCTTCCAACATTTTCGAAAATAAATTGATGGATGTTGCAAAACTACATGGTAGGAGATCATCATGGAAAATGGAAAATGAAACTCCCGGGCGTTTTTTCATGATTTTCGAAAATAGTTGAACATCTTGTAGAAACAGAAGGTTGGCTTTTGAAACTAGGTACCATATACTACCAAGTTCTTAGTTTGGTTTTCAAAAATCTAGAAATACAAATGATAGAATATTCCACATGTTTATACAAACATTCATTGCGTTTTAATCACAGAATACTTATACAAAAACTCGTGCGCTCTGAATTCACAAAAAAACTGGTTTGACTGCTGATTCAGCAATAGGTTTCAGTTTGTTGGAGTAGATGCTGGAACATCTGCTGTTAACTATATAAATATTTGACTTGTGCATAAGGTTGGATTCTTTTAATCCCTCCACACACAATTCAATAACGTAAATTTCCGTTTAAAATACAATAGCATAGGTTCCTAGGCAGGTTCATAGCTGGGCCTACAACTTGAAAACACCTGCACCAGAACCGGAAGGTGTTTTGATCCCTATAGGGATCTTATATTTCCACCTCCCGGAGGATCCAGTTCTCTCTACTCGGGAACAGTACTTCATAAGGCAGTTCGTAGTTGACAGTTGAAGGCATAAAGTCAGAGGTCATTTCCAGGATGCTGTGACTTCCAGTGTCAACCAGCAGTCTGTTGCACTCTGCATTAAATTGGTTAATGCAATGTGCACAAGTCTATATGCAGTCCATCTAGCCTCTCTCTCCCCAGAAAAATGTGGAGAGGAGGTAGATCTAAAAGGATCTCCACGGCCGCTGACGGTGTGGTGCTGATGGCATCATTAATAGCCAGGCAAGCCTGTTTCTGTAAGCCAGAGAGCTTTGCCTGGACCGTTTTTTGTAAAGCCTTCGGCCACTATGCAATTGCACCATAAGTGACAATCATCACATAAATCCAATGGATTTGTTTGGAACCTAAACCCCAAGTTTCACCACAAATTCTTCTACATGTCCATAGGGACACTCTGGCTTTGTGTAAAACTTTATCCAAGTCAGCGTTCCAGGTGAGTTTTTTATAAATCATTGAGGGAAAGTGGCGGTAGATCGTCCAATTTTTCCCTCCTGGTGAAGGGGATCATCTGCTTCCTCGGGCACCAACTGTGAACAACGCCCAACATACTTTGGAGGATATTACAAGCTACCCTTTCAAACGTGGACCTTGCCAAGATCATCTCCATGAGCTTGCAGATCTACTTTTCTTCTGTCGAGGGCATTAAGCAAACTATCCATCAGGAGCAGCCACAGAAGGGGAGATAGTACCCCACCTTGACAGCAGCCCCTGGTGACCCTGAACCTAATAACCTCGCCTTGAAGAATCTTAGTTGCAGTTCTGTTTACCAGTATGGCATAGATCCAGCAAGTTAAGGTCGATTCTATACCTTTCCTAGCCAGAGATGATCCTATAGATTCAGGTAGTGCATTGTCAAATGCTCCTTCAATATCGAGAAATACAGCAACCGCAATCTCCTTGTTGTCAAGGGATTGGGAGATTTTCTCTACAAGGTTGTTTAATGCTGGAGCTGTCAATTTGCCAGTTTGATAAACATACTGGTGGTTATTCAGGGGGATTAAAATATCCTTGGTTATATGATAACCCAAGGCAGCTATGAATTGTTGTCAAATTGAAACGGTACAGTTTCCATGTTGAATACGCGATGTCGATGATAAGCGCGCAACATCTACTTAGGCCATGAAATCGTTTGCAGGCGTTTCCATGACACCCAAACACTGTACAATGATTATTATTGCTATCAGTTTGCCAAATGCGGTTTTAATTCAAATTCAGATGTCATTTTGAAGAAGTTAAATGATCTATATAAGTAAAACGTCAATATAATTAATTGAAAAATGGATGAAAATTCAAGTGACGATGATTTGGAAAAAAATTTCAAAACCTGTTTACTGCTTTTTATAGTACCTACTGAAATGTTATCACAGATTCTTAGACTCTCCAGATGATAAAAAAAGTAATATATTCACCTGAACAGCTGTTTGGATCCACCAACTCTTCGAGGATTGGACGATTCGTTACAGGCATCTATGAGTTTTTTCAGGATAAACAAACATTCTCTAAACATCGTGAAGAATGGATGATGAGATAGAATACAAAGCGATGTTAGAGAGAGATTCCTCAGCCTCTGAAAAAAAAAGCATGAAACTGAATTCAAATAGCTATTTATGTATCAGTGGTACTAAATAAACCTCCAAGTATGAAGGCGCGGATCTTACAATCCAGAGTTGATAAACATCTATTATTACAGTGATGCATACAAAGTTTCGTCATACTAGTTCATTATCAAATTCACAATATACATTATAGATAATAGAAAAACATCTAAAAATTCAATTTGGTCATAACATTTTCATGTCATTTCTTTTATTGTGTTGTGGACTAACGTAAGTCCAGGGACCAGGATTTACAAAGAATTCAGAAATATTCAAACTTTAATGTGAATAATTTCTTTCATCAACTAAATATCTGTCTATTCAATAACATAACCGATTCCTAAAATCAGAACATAACTAAGGGACAAACTTCAATTACATTATAATTATATTCTCGAAAAGGAAAAACACCTTTCTAAAAGCCTTTGAGAAACTGTCAAATGTGAATCAACTTGCAGCAGCATTTGAAGAAAGAAACTGTCCTGCCCGGTTCAAGGAATATTTGAGAATGGAATTCAAATCTTATTGGCAGTCTATATTGCTGCAAAATTTCCAGATCGTCTTCAATATCGTAAGTTCAAACTAGGTTAGGGCATGATTTGGAACCTCAATTTTAGAATATGCTCCAAGGAATTGCTCAACACAATATTCTACAATTGCAAGAACGTGTGTGGTTCGCGATTTGAATACAGGAAAACGGGGTAGAAGTGCTCTTCAGCTTGTGGCCATTGAAATGAGCAATCTTGTCTCAATGCTTCACCGTATGAGAGTGATGTCAATGAAGATAAAACCTTTGACTCCAAAATCATGAAAGACCTGGATGCAAATGTCGGTGAATACGATAAAGAAATACTACAGCGGTCGACGATGATAAAGAAGAAAAAAGATAATAAAAATAAAATGTTAGATTCTTGTGATTTTCATTTAATTTTTTTTTATTTCCACAATCATAACCGTGTAGAATATTTTTTATGNATGCGCCACTGGAATCGATGCAGTCGCCCTGGATCGCCAATTAATTTCTATTGTTGTTTTTATTTTTATCGTTGCATTAAAATATTGTAAATTTGTTAATAAAGTTGAGCTGATATCTTTCTCCCACAAGGGATAAAATATCCTCTACATTATTGATAACAAATACAAATAGCGAAAAACCCATATGAAACGAGATATTTCCAAAAAAATGTACAAAAAATCGATTTTGGTACCCTTCGTCTTTAAATTTCAATAGTCGCGTACACTACTAAATGTAGGTTCTGAAGAAGTCAACATACAAGTTAATATGATTTCATAGCTGGGTATCTCAAATTCTGAAGGGAACATACTAAGATGACTGGACTATCTATAATATAGTTGTAATGAAGACACATTAATGAGCTAGTACGACATAAAAACACAAATACCTACAGTTTTGAACTGTCAAATAAATACCTGACGGCGACGACTGGCCCTAGGAGAAGGAGAATGACTACCCCCGCTCTCCGAGTCATTGGCGGGTATTACTCCCAGTCGTGGTAAGTTGATCGTCGTCGACTCGGAACCCCTTCTGCTTGGACAATCTTTCTCCGAATCACTAGGTCCCACATTGCTACTCCTATAATCACTAAAATATAAATTTCAGTAGTTCGTAAGTAACTGCTGGACAGGAAATTACGTCAGCTCCAAGGATTCCTTCACATACATATATTCAAAATATAATTCCCAGAATGTATGACATTTCAAGCACTTTCAAAATTCTAAAAATCCGGAAAGACACGTCAAGTTTTCAGTCAGATATTTTCTGTTTTAAAGATTTTTTTCGAAGAAGGATATTCGGACAACTATGATAAGTACTTCATTGCTTTAGTGAGGCTAATGAGGAATCATTTATTAATTAATTCCAAATAAAAGTTATTGATTAACAGGTACTATGTACGTATCTAAATAATACAATATGATATTACAATGATATCACAGAATTATTTTCATCTGATCAGGCTTATGCGATTCAAAAATCTACCACAAAAGAAGAATTTATGAAGTGGGCCAATGATACTTCAGTGGGTTACCGACGTAAAAATCAAGCAAAGAATTCATCAAACATTCTCTATTCCTGTTTCCTTCTAAACAGGTGAGCTCAAATCATCATCTACTTCAGCATCTAGATTATTGAAGTTATTAGAGACGGTTATTTCAATTGCATGATAATTCAATTAATAAATTTTTGGGAACTAGCGAAAACAATGAGCAAAATCCTACGATTTTTCATTAAATTCCTGCAGGAACTACTGTCGAAGGAAATAACGCTATTCTTACGTTTTTCCCGTGAGTTCGATAATAATTGACCACACCGTACAATCAAATTCAATTTCATTTCACTACTTCACTGTCAATCAAACACAAATACTCTAACTGAACTTCAGACTGATACTCAAATGTCTCTCGCCTAATTAGCTCCATTCGCTTGCATTTTCCAAACTAGACAAGCCTCTCCAGCGTGTTGGTAATGCTTATATATCTCGATGGAAGTCTTCGGAAGCCGATGGAATTATTCTCGAAAAAACGCGAGATCTAGAAAGGATCGATAGAACACACGTAGGGTTGAGAGCGACCTTGGCCAAGTTACAGTTGATTGGCGAAGACCAGCGGCAGATGGCGTTATTTTGTTCAGGGGATAATTTACAACACTAATGAAAATACCTCAGTAGGTTAGTAAATAAATCAGAATCAATCCCTAGAAAAAAGTGATAATAATATATAAATATGCAGAGTTTTTTCAATGTCTCCTACCGGAACACTTCGTGGCACCTCCTCAACTCATTTTGCAGTCGTCCAGACGCCTGTGTATTCCGAAGTCCCAAGAGCCTGATTGCAAAAACTTTCGCTACATTTCTTCTGCGTCGGTCTACCAACGCATGAGGGTTTTATGTTTTCGCCGTCAGTTCGACAATAATTGACTACAATGTACAGTGAAACTCAATTTCATTCCACTACTACACCACTTGTACGATACAAAAACTCCAACTTAACTTCAGAGCAATTCTCAAATGTCAATCGCCTCATTAGCCCACTTCGTACCGCACTTTCCACTAGATTAACCTCATCTGCCTGTGGGTAGTGCTTATATATCCCAATGGAAGTCTTCGGAGGCACAAGTAGAGTTGAGCGCGACCTTGGCCAAGTGACAGTTCGATTGATGAAGAACAGCGGCGGCTGGCGTAATTTTTCCAGTGAATAATTCACAACAAGGGCTTTGACAAATTGCATTATGACCTCTATTGCTCTAGCCTGCATGTGAAAAGCATGTGCCAGCAGTGTGGACTTCAGAGAAGAATGTAGGGACACATGTTGATTAATGTCACAAGCAACCCAAAAATGTTCTGTGCAATAGCACAGAGAAAAACTAACGTTTGTCCTTCACGCATTTTCATGCGACGAGCGAGCGCTGAGAGGTTTTTTCAAGTTAACGTGATTTTGGGTATCACCAGGCATCACCAGGTGGGGTAGGGAGGGGAACAGTTGAAAGTTGTTAAAAAACATCACGAGATTATAGGACGATCCTTCACCCCTACAATCTTGAATAGGGAAGAGTTTGAGTGATACCCATTAGTATCTTTCAATAATTATTACTTCTTGTTCCCTTCGATTAGGAAAACTCTGAGAAAAACTATAAAGAACGTTATCGAAAAATTTCATTATGAAATATTTGTTGGGGTTTCCAATTTGCAACTCATTTTCTCATAGTAAGTGAGACATAATAATAATAATGGACTATATTCCTTGCATAATTTATACAACTATATCTTAACAAGTGAATTTTAGAGAAAAGAGAAATCTGAACTGAAATGTTTTTCCACTCTACATCAAAAATACTGCCGTAACCTTATAAATATTATGGACGTATTAGGATCATCACTATTCCTATCATGAATAAATGTTTCACTTGTAGAAAGGAGGAAAAAACAAAAGAAACACTTTCAATTCAATTCAAAAGTTGTTGACGAGAAATTTCCAAATTCCAGAAGTAAAGAGTTCGAATGAGGCATATTTGACAAGAAAGTCAACACTCCAAAATCATGTTTTGAACTTTGGTGGCCTTATTGTGATCCTGAATGTTATACATTATGAATGGCAGAACGAAATACGATTTCACTGTAAATAAAAAAGTTTTTTGGTGACCGTGAAATTAAGGAATAAATAAGTAGTATGTAATTATCTTTTCCTCTCCATTATCAACTACTAACAGTGAAGAGTTTATTGGGAATCATCACGAACACCATACAAGCAAGCGTTTTGCACTATTTATAATTTTGTATTCGACTTTTGAAATAAATTAGGGCCGTAAATGAAGCAGACAAAACTAAAAATGGCCAACACTAACGATCCACAGACACGTAGTTTCAAAACCCTTGTTAAAAAGTACCTGTCTCCGTTTAATGTTTTCATGGATACATAAAATAGCTGAACATGTTGATTCATATATTTCTCGAATCTCAAAATTTTGTGTGTTCTACTCCAACAAATTTTTCACCATTAATAGTGATTTCGATATCTTCAAAAGAAGTTTTATCATCTGTAAAACATTTCTCAGCGAACCTTTTGAATGGTTAAATCATAAATTTTCACAAAAACAGACCAGAATATTGAATATCCCACTCCTCAAAAAAACAGTTGCATCAAATATCTCACCTCGAAAAGGCAGAATCAGAACTCTTCTCCATACTTTTTCTCCACGAGTCCCTCCTAAGGCTCGTATTCACTCTTCCTTTAGCCATTGCCGCATTATTGGGATTTTTCTCCACCGGCCTATAGAAATTCACGCAAATTCCATACCGCGTTTTGCCAGAGTCTTTGTCAGTGAGAGTGAAAACGAAAGAAGAAGCTTCCCTCAGAGCTGTTCTTTTCGGTCCCACGAAGGAACAGCCTTCTGGTTGGCAAAAATAAACCATATCTAGGGGCATGGGAAAGTCCTTGTGGTCTTGGATGGGGTAGCGACGTAGAAGTTCCGGGGCCTACAATAAAATAAATCGAATGAAACTGGCCGATACCTGATGAAAATTCATATTGAAACTCATAAATACAGTTTATCATATGATTTTCAGTGTAAAAGGTTTTACATTCCTTTGTCAGATGCGAATTTCAATAAAGAACTAAACATAAAACAAATAGCCATCAACAATGATTGGCAATCTGAAACAAACTTTGTTATCAAAAAAGTTGTACAGCTAAGCTATGAAAGAAGTTTACCCAATTCGAAGAGATAAGAATAAAAATTATAGGACCTTAACCTACATAGGTCAACCCACTACAAATATTTCAAATTTTCTGCACAACAAAGGTGTAATATTGCTTTCAAAACTAACCACAACTCAGTTCAGTTTCAGTGTGTATAAATTATCATGTGGGTCATGCCCGATGTATTATATTGGTCAAACTGGAAGAACGTTCAGAGCCCGCATAAAGGAACACAGAAATAGTTTCCAGAATGGAAGTAGGTAATATGTCAGAGTACAAAATAGTTGTAATTTAGAAGTAACTTATCATTTTACGCTTGATAAAGCTATCGTATAACGAAACACGTGTCGAGGTTTTTGTAAAACCTTCCATCGTGAAAATCATACAATAAACTGTATTGATGAGTTATAAAAATAATCGTACAATGATACCAATTCCAGAAAAATCTGCACAATGTGGAACAATGTGGAACATTTTTCAAGTTACATTACCATGAGAGATATGACAATTTTATTGAGAACGGTGGTATATCAATTTACTATGTAACCATTCATATAAGATGATTTCAAAAGTAACAAAACCCACTTAAGAAGTGTCAAATTTCGACATTTGAATGTACTGACTTTGAACAGGATTCTACAGGTTTCTTTTCCTAAAATATAAATTTCAACAAAAATCAAGAACTCTATCAAGTCCGTGCAACCAGCCTAAGTTATCCAACTAATGATAATAAATAAAATTGCTAGGCTAACCAAATAGTTTGAAACTCTGTCAATGTCACAATCGAGTTTAGTTGTTAATCCACGTGTATCAATGATGACAAACGATTTTTTCAATTTTGTATCTACGGTGTGGTCCACTAAGTCTGCAACAAATGGAAATCTTTTTTATTATCGATTGCTCAGAAAATTTTATTCCTGACAAAAGTTGGTGCATGTTCCAAAACTATACCAAGTGTACCTGAAACGGCTTCATGACAAACACCATACAGGATAGGCCAAAAAATATAAAGTTCGTTCAAGAGTAAAGTACCTTTATTTCAATAATCCAAAATCTATCGCGGATAGCCATGAACAAAAAACACATACGCCCTAAAACAATACTGTAGTCTGATAGTGTGGCTTCTTAAAACTTGCAAATTTCATTATTGACAACAAAAATCAATACAATCAGAAAACAAACCTTTAGTGTAGTATATTAAATAAATTACCACGTCCGTTATTTTTTCGCGAGAATTTTAATGGTGACAGGTATTTGAACTTTTTGGAAACTGAAATAGGAGAGTTTTTGGATGATATGGTATTGGAAGAACGGCAAAAGTTATGGTTCCAACATGACGGATGTCCTGCCCATCCTACTAGAAATGTTTCTCAGTGGTTGAATAGGACATTTCGTAATAAATGGTTAGGACGAAATACCGATCCTCGATGGTCTCCTCGTTCTCCAGACCTTACACCTCTAAATTATTTCTTATGGGGATACTTAAAACAAAAAGTCTACAGAGATCGCCCCTTCAATAAAGTTGATGAGCTTGAAACTTCAATACGAGTTCATTGCAGAAATATTACCGCTAATGTGTTGCGATCTACATTAAACGAATTTTATGAGCGAACAATTAGATGCATCGAAAGAGAAGGTGGACATATAGAAACGCTTCGATAACACAACACAACAAAGTTTTTGTTTCGGGGTTGAAATTAGATGATTTTAATGTATTTCCACGTGTTAAAACCGAAAGTGACCATAAAAATTATATATTAGCTCTTGTTTTCAAGATATAGTATCATTATATTATATATATGTATATTGAGTTTTCAACAAATGAAATATTTCATCACCAACAGTTGGTACACATGTTTGTTTACATAACACCCCTCTCATCAGCTGTTCTTAAGTAGTAAACATAACCTATGTGAGTTTGTCAATTGTA